AAAGTGCTTTGTCATGGCTGCCAAGAAAACTCCATGGATATGTTCACGCTGTCCCTTGGAGTCGAGTTCGCCTCAAAGGAGATTTTACAATTGCAGCTTTTTTTAAAATCCCCAAAGCAGAAGGTATGGGAGGCGACGTCCTGCTATCCAGCAAAAAGGAACAGAAAGTTCACTCGGTCCGAGTCCCATCCGCGCTGAATGAGCCTTTCGGGGGGAAACGAGGGACCTTTCTTTCAAGAGGGGGCAGGCTGGCAACAAAGGCCCTTTCTAGGTCTGACCTTCAGCAAAGACCAGGACTCTCCCTCGGCGAACCAGCTGCCCAGAGAAAGGCTCACGAGAAGCACCTGCTCGTGCTCAGGCTGTTCCGAATCTTGCCCCTGGACGGATTCTGAGGCCAGAACCGGAACCAGGCGGGCAACAGCGGGAACACCCTGCTCCGCTGATCAAGCCAGGCGTGGGGGGCGCCTGCCCTCGAATGCCTGCCCAGGACTCGCCAGCCAGCCCCAGTGTTGCCAGCCGGGAGAGCCAGGCTGAACACATTCAAGGAAGCCTGAGTGTGGGAGTTGGGGGCCACCTGCTCCCAGCGCAGGCTCATTGTTGAAAAGAGGGCAGCGGTGCCATCCAAGCCCCACTCTTTCTTCAGTATGCCTGTTGACTTTTTGGATTGCCCCACCCATGGTCACCCCTATTTCAACTGCCCTCTTTCTGAAACATTTCCCCACTGTATTATATGGAGGAGACCCAGACTCTGTGGCTCAGGATAACTGCAGGCACGTTGTTGTCACAACCCAATGGAGAAACTCCCTAGGTTCTCTTGACTTCCCAGAGAAGAAGGGGATGTAAATCCAACAGATAAATAAAGCCTCACATAATCAGGTAATAACTAAAATGGTTGAAACTGCTCCTTCATTTGGTTTTGCGGAGGCAAATGATTTCGAGGCACTGATTCCTGAGATCCACTGCTCCAACTGAGGGGGTATGCTCTAGGGAAATTAAAATGTCCCAACAGCCCTCAGCCAGACCCCCCTCCCCACCTTAGGGCAACGCCTGGCCAGCTCAGCATTTGGAAGGATTGGCACATTCGCAAAGAGGAGGAAATGATAAGGCTGCAAAGATCCAGATGACCACCAGGTTGCAGCAAAGAGTCTTTTTACCTCTCTAGCGCTCATCTGAAGTTCTGCAGCGTTAGGAGACTGGGAAGCTCCTGCGTCTGGAGCTAAGCCACCATTCAGGACTCACCGAGTCCCGGTTGCTCGTCTCCAACTCTTATGAGCAGAGGAAGAGGAGCTGAATGAGCCTGTAGGAAGGGTCCTTGGGCCAGACTGGCAGAGTAGCTGGAATGCAGGGGTCTGCCAAGCCTCAGGGCTGGATGGGGCAGGCATCTGAAGACAGGCAGAAGAGTTGAGCTTGTCTCTTCCTTGTGCATCACTCAGGACTAGAAACAATTGGGTGGGAAAAGGCTGTTCACGTTCTTAGATTCCTGACCCTTCTGGCAGCAACAAATCTCATGGGGGGGAAGGGGGTGGAGGAAAAATATACGTAGACTGCTTCTTTTTTCCAATAAACATTATATACATTCATTCAACAGGACTGTTATAATTTGGAAGTATGCAGATAGACAGCTGCTAAATATGGGTACTGCAATCTACATTGTGATTTTCAAAGCTACAAACAAAAAATTAGCACAACAGTGGAGGGGAAGGATGAAAAAAGAAAAAAAAAACAACAACTGAGATGTATTTTTTCCTAAATCTAAGTCTAACTATACACATAATGAGAATTTATCTACAAAAGTATTTGGGCGCACTACGTGAATAGAGAGAAGACGGGGATGAGGCTGGTTTTGTGATTCCTGAGTTGGAAGACAGAAGGGGGGGAGCTACACACTGTATTTGTACCTTTGATCTATGGGGTGCTGGGACACGAAAGTGCCCCTTCAGTGCCAACTACTGATCATAGGGCATCCACGGCCACAGAAGGAGGTGCTCTGTGGAAGCAACGTCACAGAAGAGAATTTAGCCCGAGTCCCTGGTGTCCTGCGCAGCAAGGGAGCAACTGCGGTGGCCGAGCAGAAAGTTGGAGCACCTGCAGGATTCAGCAAGCACTCAAGAGAACTTCATCCCAGGAAGGCTTTTCAGGAATACAGGGGAAACTACAGGTGCCAGGCCTCACACATGCAAGATCATCTCCATAAGCAGCTAGGGAACAAACAGCAGTTGCCAGGCACCCGGCTCTAGGGCAAAGGAGGGTTCTGCTCAACAGGCTTTCCCAGTGAGGTGTCTGAATGGACTGGGCCCACCATAGAGAAGAAGACTTCTGCTCCTGGTCACTAACTGGTCCTTCTCTGCTTTTGAAATGCAGACCCTGACCTGGATCCTTAGTCTACTGAGCATCCATAGACCAAGCCACAGTGGTCCTCATATAATACTAAGCTAGAAACCATGATTTATTTAGCACAACAAGTGGGAACATCCATCCTGCCAAAGCAGAGCCAAATGTGCCAGGGCAGGGCTTCATGCAACACCTGAATCCAGACAAAATCTACATTTGCCCCTCATTTTTGGCCCATTTTTAGTGCTCCCCATTTGGCTGGAAGAGATAAAAAAAATATCCCAGTCTTGATTTGCACCCACCGATGTATAACATACAGCAGGGGCTGGAAAGCAAAGAGGAAAAATCCAAAAGGGCAGCTCTGAAAACCTTCTCTATATTTCACATACAGCACAAAGATCTTTACAACTCCTACTTAAAAGTAATTTATTTCCAGATAAGACTATTGAAGATTACAAGCTGGATGGGGAGACCTCTTGGGGGAAGAAGGGACCCACCATCCTGCCTGTTTCTTGCTCTCACTCCCCTCTCATCAAATAAAAATCCCATTAGACAACTCCAGCCAAGCGCTCTTCCCACTCTGTTTAGTCAAGGGCTATCTTTCAGCAACGTCCAGGCCTCACTTTAACCCAGCAGGGGTGCTCATGCTGACCCGAGTTAACCTGGGCAAGTCTATCAAGGGCTCTCTCCCCTTTTAGAAAGAAAGAAGCTGGCTCCTAAGAGACCCCATCAAGCAAACAGCTCGCCAGTTCCCTAGGCTGGCACTGCACATGGGTGGCCTACCGCTCTGGCTCAAATGCAACTACCAGGCTGTTAACCAGAACTGCTTAGTGGGTCCCTAAACCTGGTTCCGCGCATGATTCAAGGAGCAAGGGCTCAGCTTCAAAGCAGAACTCTGTGTGGAACCCACCTATCAAATGTTTTTGGAGACACTTCTTTGAAAGACTTTATTGTCTGAACTGAGGCAGGCACTCTCTAGGGAAATGGCTCCCCCACATCCCAGAAAGGCTTCATAATAGTTCTGGCTCCAAAGACCTTTATTGACCCAGTTTCTAAACTTTTAAAAATGGCTTTAATGCTGCAATTTTAATCTGTAGCTTTATCCCTGCATACAGTTCCTTTTTATTATTGCTTTGCTTTTATACTACATTACTGAAAATATCCATATACTGAAGGGTGGCGCCTTTCAATTTATCCATCCTTTCAAAAATAAAGTAATGGATAAAATAAAATGCCAAGAACAAAAATGTTCATAGCCTCCAGCAATGTATGGAGTAGGAGGATGGCTTCTTGAACAATGAAAACTCAAAATGAAATCCTTGGAACTCCCTGGAGTTACCAGGTGATCTTGCAGGATTCAGAGAGAAAAGGGGGCAGAAGAGGCCCCCCATCACGCAGCAAATTATAGACATTATGAAAGAAGAAGGGGGCATAATGGGGGGGGGGGCAAACAAGACCAATGCCAGAGTTCAGTTTTCCAGGAAATCATCTTGCATAGGCCAAGAACCTCTTAGGGCGGACAACCTTTGGCTGTGGGACACACACAGCTCCCAGAACCCCTTTTAAGAGCCTTGGGCAACCTGGAGCTGGCAGGCCTTTTTGGAGTTTTAGGCATAACCCCTTAAAACTACCCAACCCCTTCAAGAAAGCCCCAAAATGTTGGCTCTGGCCCTTCCAGCAATCTCATGACCTTGCCAGCAGAACCTCTGGCCTGCAAGAATGTTGTATGTCAGGAATGTGCCATTTGGCCTTTTCAGCTTGCATCCCAAAAGTTCTGGGCCAGCCCATAGTGTTTGGAACGAGCAGAGGGACTGACAAAAAAAAGGGGGGGATCGCGGTAGCTGAAGTTTGACCTACTTAAAGGGCATCAACTGGGCATAAGCCATAAGTGTCCCGAAGTTCAGGCTACCGCAGCTGGCCTGCAAAAATCTCGATGGCCATTAGAGTCTTGCAGCCAAAATTTGGTAGCTCTTCCAAAGCCTCACTCAGGAAAAGCACACAATCGACAAGAGGCTTTTCAAAACTTCCTCAAAAGTTGGAGCCGCCAAACTTTCAGGTGGCAACCCTAGTTACGACTTTAAGAACAATCTGCGGTTGTTACCACAGTAATGACAGGTTGTAGCACTTATATTCCTGGGTGTGAGAGAGAAGGAGAAAGATCCTTCCCTTCCTGATTTACCCTGTCAAACTCTGCCAAAAAAGCAAAAGGGTGGGGGCGGGGGCGGGGGGAGGAT